ATTGCCGGAAGGACTGGGTTGCATGTTGCGGCAAAATATGAGAACTATTGTGTGTTATTTCCAGATAAAAGCTTTCTGAAAATATCATTACCGAATGCACTGAAAAATATATGCAGTTGCTGTCTTTGAGCTGTGAGCATTGAGTCCTCAGGACAGGATTGTAACTTCGTTTGAGCAGTGGAGCTTCATGTGCAGGGGACAATGGAAACGTGTGTACGTGTCTCTTGCGGGAGTTGTGTAAGCAACACACTGACATATGCCTCCTGCCCCTCCACCTCTGCTGTTTACTCCGTTTAATCCCTTTTATAAACACGCACACATTTAAACAATGGCGAACTGCTTACCTCTCAGTGGAGCTGTAATAGGATATGCTGCAATGGCCAGTGTGATGTGCGTGATAGAGAGAGAAATAACGTGTTTGTCTGTTATAGACCATTATAGTTCAATACTGCAGTAGATTGTTGGAGGGATATGAATGAAGGAGCAAAATCGGGCCATTAAGGTCAGATAAACTACTGTGCCGCATTCTGTTTCCATGGAGATGATTGCCCTGCTGGGCTTTCGATCACCAATAACAGGCTGTGTTCAGAATGGAATACTAGCGTGCTGCTTACTGAGCAGTATACACTGAATTCTGCTTACTGTTTCTATAAATAGCATGTGAAGCATTATGCAGCGTTAACAACCTCATTGTCACATGACCTTATTGCTTACACATTTAACTCAGCCAGAGGTCTCTCGGAAATAAATTTGTGTTTTGTTTGTTTTGTTTTGTTTTTAAAGATGTTAAAAATTGCATTTAGTTTATTATTGCAGTTCATTCAGGTTCACTACCGTTCAAAAGTGTGAGGTCGGTAAGATTTATAAAAAAAAAATAAAAAAAAAAAGTTTTTAAATGATCTCTTATGCTCATCAAGGCTGCAAAAAAATGGATAAATAAATAACTTTTTTTATATTTTAAAATGCCGTTTATTACTGTGAAAACAAAGCTGAATTTTCAACAGTCATTACTCCAGTCTTTAGAAGTCACATGGTCCTTCAGAAATCATTCTAATATGCTTTTTTTATTATTATTATTAACATTGATGAAAAAAGCTGTTGCTTAATATTTTTGTAGAAATACTCAAAATAGTTTTAAATAGAACATCATTTGTAACATTACTTTTGATCAGTTCAATGCATCCTTGTTGAACAAAAGTAAGACTTTCTTAACCAAAAAAACAGTTCTAATATGAAAAGCTGTAAAGATGTGCATTTATTTATTGATGATAATTGGTCAATCTGCTGTATCATTATATTTGGGGGTCAGTAGATTTTTTATTTATTTTTTTTAACTTTTACTAAAGATATTACTACTTTATTCAGCCAGGATGCATTATATGAATAAAAATTTTTAGTAATATGTAATTTTACAAAATATTTATTTTTTATTTTTCTCTTCATCAAAATGATCATCACATGAATATATTACGTTTTAAAATATATTAAAATACAAAACAGTTCTTTTAAATAGAGTATTTACAACATTATTGTTTTAGTGCTTTTGTACCAAATAATGCAGTCTTTATATGCATAAGAGACTTCTTTTAACAACATTAAAAAAATCTTACGGACCCTAAACTTTTGAACAGTAGTGTATGTATTCAATAGATAAAGCTATAAATACATCAGTTAAATCTATAGATGTAGTTCTACAAACTAGGGCTGTCAAAATGTCAAATTTTTTGCTTAAATATTATCAATATTCGAATTTAAAAGGTATAATTTCAGTTATGGGGAAAAAAAGCTTTTGGCTTCTCTCCTGAGGCCACAAGAGGGCGCATCGAGCAAATTATTATGCACGTTTCTTCAAAGCATAATAAAATAACACGACTATCTTTGAAAAAAGTGCATAATGTTTAAAATAAACCTTATATAATTAATAAAGTTGCTTAAACAATTAGAAACAAAACAGCATCATGCATGTATGTATAGTTTAATACAAATGACCAAAAACCAATCACAAAGAATACTTTTTTCATTTAAAAACATGAGATGCAGTGGGATGGGGAAAACCGCCATAAAGTCTTGAGACATGTTTTTTAAAAGTTGAACTTACATTAATTTTACATGGCTTTCTAAACATGCGGCTCTCTTGTATGAGACGCGAGTGCAACGGTGATAGATGTCCCTCTCGAAAATGCGTTAAATATGTGTTCTGTTTGAACGGCTTGGTTTCGGTTTTGACGTAAACGACATCTTCCCCGCATTGATTGTTCTCTTTTTCTGCAATATTTTGAATGAACAACGTAGCAGCGCCGCATCTAGTGGGTTCAACTGGATAGACTAACAAAAGCATTCAAATGCAATGACACTTACATCATCGTCGCATTTCGTGCGCCACTGATAATACTGCCTGACGCACACCTAAAATTCGAATGCAACGTTTTTGCGTTTGAATGGTGATTTTTATTTTAAATTCTACGAATCTTCGGAATTCGATTTTTTTTTTGACAGCCCTACTAGAAACAGGTCCACAGATAGATCATTGAACTAATTTTAACATTCCACACGTCAGGTAAACAGGCTCTAAGACAAGATAGAGAGCTGTTTGAGTTTGAAAAGGGGGCACAGGAAGTGAAGAGGGAAGTCACAGCATGCTCTGAATTTCCTGTTCCTCTTTCTATTGGTTCTCAAACTCTAATAGACATCAGTGTTGAGCTGAGACTGAGAGCAGTGGATCTGTTTGAATGCATTTAATCAATTTGCCTCATAACAGGCAAATTTGTTTGTTTGTGTAAGACAAGTGAAATAATGCAGACGAAGAAACAGATGAGTTAATTAATGCTGGTTCACTCTCTACTACTTTGCATTTGACACTTCATGATACTATCATCTCAAAAACATTGCAAGAATTAGATGTTTTGTTTCCAGTCGAGACTTGGAGAAACTTGTACATGCCTTTATCACCAGCAGGGTGGACTATTGTAATGGTCTCCTCACCAGCCTTCCCAAAAAGACCATTAGACGGCTGCAGCTCATCCAGAACGCTGCTGCCAGAATTCTGACTAGAACCAGAAAATCTGAGCATATCACACCAGTCGTCAGGTCCTTACACTGGCTTCCAGTTATATTTAGGATTGCTTTTAAAGTACTTTTACTCGATTATAAATCTCTCAATGGCCTAGGACCTAAATACATTGCAGATATGTTCACTGAATATAAACCTAACAGACCACTCAGATCATTAGGATCGAGTCGGTTAGAAATACCAAGGGTTCACACAAAACAAAGGGAGTCCTCTTTTAGCTATTATGCTGCCCACAGTTGGAATCAGCTTTCAGAAGAGATCAGATGTGCTAAAACATTAGCCACGTTTAAATCCAAACTCAAAACTCATCTGTTTAGCTGTGCATTTATTGGATGAGCACTGTGCTACGTCCGAACTGATATCACTGTATTTTATATATAATCATTTCCTATTTTTTACTGTTTTAAATTCATTTTAAATCAATTTTTAAATAATTTGAAAAGTTTTCAAATTCCTTGTTTTATTGTTGTGGTTATTTTTTATGATTATTTTACTTCCTTTTATGAAAATCACTTTGAATTACCATTGTGTCTGAGATGTTCTTTATAAATAAACTTGCCTTGCCTTGCCTAAATTTAACAAAAGAGACAATAAAGACATTTACATTGCTACAAGAAATATACTTCAAATAAATTCTGTCCTTTTTAACTTTCTATTCATCAAAGATTCCTGAAAAAAAGTTTATTAACTAGATTAATTAGAGTAATTTAGAACTTAACGTAATGGCTACTGAAAATAGCTTTACTATTACAGGAATCAATTTTAAACAGTAGTCTATTAGTAAATTTTAGAAATGAACATTAACCAAAATGAATAAATGATGTTTTAGATTAAAAATGAACTTATTGTAAATTATATTTTAACCAAGTTGCAGACTGAATTTAATCTGATTAACAAAGAAACTATTCTTATAAGTTGGTTCTTTTACTGAAATGCCCCAAATTGCTCATAATATAATTTTAAATCAGACTAACACACACATATATACAGTATATATGTATAGTTTGAGACAGCGCCATTGGTTTGGGATTAGTCACCGCTGACTTGAGGAGACATTTGTCAATCAAAAAATACGGGGTGTCTATTAACATTTAGTTAAAAGTGGCTGTGAAACATCAGCTCCAGTGGCGCAGATGGATAAGTGCTTGCCCTTGGCTTTTTGACGTGATCGACACAGGTTCGATCCCGTCTTTTGCCAAACTTTTTTTTTTCTTCCTTTTCAAATCTCGTATTAGCAATAAATTCTATTTACATAGCAGTATTTTTTAGCAATATGCTATTTACACTAAGTGCAAATACCTATTTACACTGTTAAAATAGCAGGATTTCTACTATCAAGTATACTACTTGTTGCAAATAGTGGCAATTATCTGCATTTCAGTATTGTAGTACATTATAAAACAGTATGCAATAATAACGTATTGAGTGTAAATTATAATTTTAATTATTAAATGGATGCCACCTTATTGGTTCAATAAAGCCCTCCCTACACCTACCCTAACCCTACCCGATAGTTTATTTTCAACTTTTTGATTATTTCCTTAATTTTTATTGAAAATAAATGCCTTTACGATGTGATACGAGATTTGAAAAGGGAGGAAAAAAAAGTTTGGCAAAAGGTGGGATCGAACCTGGGTCGATCGCGTCAAAAAGCCAATGTCAAGCGCTTATCCATCTGCACCACTGGAGCTGATGTTTTATAGCCACTTTTAACTAAATACCCCAGCAGGGAGATACAAGATCCTGATTACCGCGTCTGGGCTTATTTATTAATAATGCCAATAGTGGATTATACATTATATCTTTCTTGAATTTGCTTATAAAAAGGAATCACTTGGGAAAAGACTGTCCTCATTTATCAGTGCTTTCTAATTGATTGATTGATTTATTTTTATTATTAATAATATATTTTTTGTCTGTTTCTCTGCAGAACTTGCAGTTGCTGGGGGCCACAGCGATTGAAGACAAACTTCAAGACAAAGTACCTGAAACCATCGAGACCCTCATGAAAGCTGACATTAAGATCTGGATCCTGACTGGAGACAAACAGGAGACCGCCATCAACATAGGTGAGAGTTAAACCTATAAAGTTTGTTTGTATGAACGTACACCTTGATTGACAGTCGAGACTAGACAGGAAATGATGTGGAGATTAAGGGGAAGTGGACAGCTTCATTTTTCTAGTTTTAGTTTCTATTTAGTTCTTACAGATGAGATGCATTAGGTTTTTTTCCTAATATATTGACACTAACCAGTAAGAATTTCTCTGGCTAATTTAAATGATCAAAAATATACACAATCGGACCTCTCTCGCTCTTTCACTCAAACAAACACAGCTCTTCCTGACCGGCTGTCGCACAGGTAAAAGGTGTTTGGTTTCTTTCCTCATCTGAAAGCTGATGTAATGCACGTGTCCTCGACCTGCTCGACTCTAATCTGTCCCTGCAACCACCACCAGCTCTCAAAACAGACCGCGGCCCCCATTTCCCTGTGATGTGGCGTCTCGTTTTAGTCTGACAGCTACACGGCTACCAATGTGGCTTTCGAACAGGCCTCATGTTAAATGCTACGGTCAGAAAAACAGATCCTAACAGAGCACAGTCTGTGGCCACCTACCAACACTGATCCTGAATCAGCCCATTGTGCCCAGTGGCCAGCTGTGCCGCGGCTTGAAAACACACACGCTCGGAGAGGAAGGGATTTTTACTGGACCTCCACTTGGCTGGCATGCACTCTAAAATAAAGACACCCATGTCTGTGTTTACTTCGTATTTTTTACTTTTTGTAATTCATCATTTGGAGAGTTGGAGGATGACAAGAGACAAGAGTCTTCCAGCTAGTACAGGTTCCCAGAATCCTTTGCCAGTATGGTTAAAAGGTGTCTGAGGTGATATAACCAGCTGTTTTTAAACTTATTTTTCTTTCTAAAATATAAAGACAGTACAAGGAAAAAATATGTAATTAATGAGATAAATATTTAAATATTTAAATATTAAAATGTGATATATACAATGTAATATGTAGACAACAAAATTGAATAATTGATTCTGAACTTAATTGACTAACATTATTATCGTACTTAATCAAATTGTTTAAATATCTGGGAAGCATTAAGCTTTTATTAAGGTGATATGTATCTTAGATTTAACAAAGAAGTAAAAAAAAAAAAATCGATGACAACAAATTGAAAATAAAAAAATATTAAATGTAGTTTCATTTAATGTATGCACTTTACCAGCCTTAAAAATACAATTTAATATATTTATTATTACTATACTATATTTCTTAAGGACCTCTGGATTAGACAGCACATCACTATGCATTTCTTAAGTTGAAGTAAAGTACATTTTTTACATTTGTGAAATGTAAATGTAAAAAAAAAAAGAATTGTGATTTTTTTAATATATTTTTTTTTTATCACAGGTTTGCATTCCAGTTTGAAACCCCCTGAGCTAGACAGTTCTTCAGTATACCATTTGTTTTTAAACCGTAACATAAGGAAAACTAATTTAAGCATGGCATGCTTAAAAATATAAGGATTCTCCATTTCCCACACTAGCACTCTACAAAAACATGAAAAACTATCAGAAGTGAAGTGAACCCCAGGACTGTGAAGTCAAGCGCAGTTTAATCTTGGGTTAGCGGGCACTTAGAACTGTTTGGCCGCCACTTGCACATAGTACATGAAACCGCTCCAGTTCTTCTATCCACACTAGCCCTCTGACGGTCTTATTAATGTATCAGACCATTAAGCAGAGAGTTGGAGTGAGGACAGACAAGCTATCCACACTGCGCTGCTACCGCTGAGCTGTTACTCCTGGCCACTGGGTGCCACTGTAAAGCCTCAGAGATTAAAGCCCAAATAAACAGTATGTGGCCAATGCGAACAACTCAACATGCCCTCTTCTAACCCACAGCCACTGCCAACAGACCGAATGAAAACCCACCCTGCAGTAGCACGGAGCCAATGCAACCGCTGAGTGTAACCTCAATGCCTTCTTTCCAGATTCATACAGCATTATGCTGCGTCATGCAGGTGTCCCAATGTAAATCTATCGTTTCTACCCAGGGTGTTTTAGTTTAACCATGTTGAAGAGGGATGAGGTGACATTCCTGCCAGTGGTCAGAATGAAGCTGCGGAAATACGTCAAGGTTTGACACTCGCTGTCAGGAAACCAAATCTGTTTTCCACACAGACAGGAAATTTTGGTGAATATGCACATTTGAAATCAACAGAAATGCTTTAAACAGGAATGGCAGGACAGGACACCGGCACCCAAATACATACGCATTCATGCTCTTGTTGAATTTGGTCACAGTCACATTTCCTTAAGGCTGAAGTGTGTCATCTTGGGTTTTTTTCTGTTAAAGTGTGTAAAGTTAGTTACAAGGCTACTATTTATAAGTTCCCGATTGGTCCTACTACTGGCTCAGTCAAGTGCTTGAATTTGGGACCTTAGGGTTTAGGAAACCTGTTTTGGAAATTATTATTTCCAATGATTATTTTTGCAGTATTTGTGTATTGGCATAGAACAATAAGCTATACATTAAATAGTATAAATTATTATCATCCTTTTATACTAACTATTGTTAGTGGATCTAATGAGAATATATATATATATATATATTGGGAACTATGATTTCAGAATCCAGGCATAAAAACGGAATTTACTGTATAACACGGAATGTCATGGAATTTGCCAATTTTTGGATTAATAAATCAAAAGTAGGTCAATACACTTGAATCAAAACGCAATATGGACTAGTGACTGTGAATATTAAGCCGCAAAAAGACCATTTATTTAGCAGAAAATGTAACATAACACATTTCTGGGAAAATAAATAAATAAAATACCAAAAGCTTTGTTTTATAAAATCAATTAATTAGAGATACTTTTCATTATTAAAATCTAATGAAACCATTAAAATGGAATCCAGAAAAGTAATGGAAAACAGAATTTGGTAAAAATAAAGAGGGGGGGCGGGGAACATTTTAAAAGGCCTTCATGTAATTTTTTTTTTACTTTTAATAAATTGCTGTTAAATTGTGTAAGTTTCATGATTTCAATTAATTACATTACATAAAATGTTATATAACCATTAAAATGGAGTCTGGAAAAATTTAAATGGGAAAAAATGGAATTTGGAGAAAAAATACAACGGCCCTATATATATAAATAAATTGCTGTTAAATTGTGTAAGTTTCATGATTTCAATTAATTGCATTACATAAAATGTTATATATGGAGTCTGGAAAAATTAAAATGGGAAAAAAATGAAATCCAGAAAAATTAAAACAGAAAAAAATGGAATTTGGAGAAAAAATACAACGGCCCTATATATATAAAACAGGTATAATGTATGTTTTACAGGTATAATGCAAGTCCATAAAAGCACCAACAATTATAGATGTTTGAAATATTGTTGCTAGAATAAATATAGCAGGTCTATCTGATACATAAGTACTGTAATTTAATATAACTACTGCTTTTGGGCAATTCTTGTCCTTTACAGTAACTTTTATTTAAAACTGTTCCCCACGGACGTCACTCCTCAAATACTGAGGTGTCGGTAACCTATTAAACAGCAAATATGTTGTTTAGACGCATCCTGGTGGCTGATGGGATGTCTTGCTTTTTTTATCGGGTTGAGAGAGCCTGCTGTCAAGCTTCCAGTAGTGATCTCATACGAATAGTGGAAAGGCACATTAAAACCAATGCGGCGTGGTAGTTTTAAACCCAGGTCTGCTGTAAACTTTAATCACAAAATGTGCTTTTCACTCCTCAATTAGTCATTTCTTTCATCTGTTGCTGTGGTTACACGTCGCATGTCTTTGTAATGTTGATCTATTGCTGAAATACTAAGTTGCGGCAAACCATTTGTCATTTGTTCAAATGCCAAGCAAACCCATTTTTTTCCACACAAACATACCATATGTTTTAGGCTTAATAGTGAGAGGTATAAGCAATGAGTTTTCTTTTTTCTCTCTTTTTTTCCTGAAGGACACTCCTGCAAACTGCTTACGAAGAACATGGGCCTGCTTGTGATAAACGAGGACACCCTGGATGTGAGTACTGAGACAGAGGTGTATGTTTATTTGAAAAAACAATTACATGTCACCATTTGTAATGCAAGCTCAGAGAAGAGATGAAAAGACGCGACAGCTGACGGATCGCTTCAGACCCCCGGTACATGAAAGCATGTGATATAATTCCCAATGTGACTCTCTTCCAGAACAGTTATAGATTTTGTTTTGGGTTTTCATCCAAACCATTCCCCTCCGGTTTCTGTCTCATATTTCTCTGAACGAAAGGAATAAAGTGATACAGTGGGGCTCAAAAGTCACTATTAAAAATGTTTCTATTTTGTGTTTTTTATGATTAAACTATTTTATTATTATTATTATTAAATATTTATTGTTTTGTTACACTACTGTTCAAAAGTTAGGTTCAGTAACTTTTTTTTTTCTTAGAATTATTTTATTTGGTAAGAATGGATTAAATTGATCACAAATGACAGTAAAGAATGCTGAAAAAAATTCTCACAGTTTCCACAACAATATTAAGCAACACGACAATGACAAATTACAAAATTGGTTTCTCAATGATTATATAGAAAATGACAAACATCAGGTGATCATAATCAATCCTCAGACTCCACTTCAACATCTGAAACAAATTAATGGGAACGATAACACATCAGGCAAAAATGCTGTTAATAAACATTGTATCCACAATTAAAAAAAAAAAAAGTTGCTGCAAATTCAGTCAAGTTCCATTGCTATCAAAAGAATAAAAATACTTTTTTAAATGCATATCAATTTAAAAAGTTATTTTAAATTGTAATAAGATTTTATAATATTTTTACTTAAATAAATGCAGCCTTAGTAAACAAAACATTAACAATCCTTCCAACCACAAACCTTTGAAAGCTAGTATGTGTATATATACATAAATATACATAAAACAAAAATGAACGGAAGTAAAATATGAATTAAAATATTAACATTTATATTTTTTAGTATTGGATTTGTCCCCCTTTTGCTTTAATATTCCAGCATGAATTGAGATGATCCAAAGAGTATCTTGATTTTCAATGGACGCAGCAACATCAGACCATCTGTACAAAGGAGTAACACTTTTTTTTTTTTTGGGCCTAGAAATAGTGAAGAATCTTTCAAATTGATTTTACATCATACCATTTCCTTGTTTTGAAATGTTCAACTTTCTGAAACATTGTTTATTTCCAGGTTTAAAGCATGTATTTTGAAATGTGGTCTCAGACTTTGGGATCCTACTGTATATGTTGGTCGGATGGAGCTTATAGGAAAGAGAGGATGTGGTTGCACCGCATGAAGCCGTTTAAAAGATGGGAAGGGGTCGTGAACTTAAAACAGGGGTTTAGGACCCTCTTTCATATACACACACACACATGCACAAAGTACAGGCCAATAACTCCCTGATGGGAGAATCTATTCTGTTGACGATGAAACCGAAAGGCATCCGCTTTCAAAGAAGGAAACCATTTGAAACATATACACACACACACACACACACACAGCCTACAGGTCAGCTGGCCCCTGCAGGGAGGGTCTTGTCTGTTGTCTGTGGAAGTTAAGGACTCTAGAAACCATTTTGCACCACTTGTGCACATGCAATGGGACCCCTGATCGGGTGGGGCCCATCCCGTTGCAAGGGGGGGGGGGGTTTGGGTGATGACGGACGGCTCTCAGTCTGTCAAACAGCCGTTTAGCGTGATAGATGGAGCCAGAGAAATAAGAGGAGCGTTCCGTCATAAAGCAGACGGCCGCCATTTGAAATGTCAGCGTCTGGTCTCCCATGCATATGCACATGCTTATACAACATGAGAAAAGAAAACAAGAAGGAATTCTCGGAGCGCTCGGCGGTCCGGCAGTGGTGGGATTTGCCGTGCTCTCACATTGCAGGAGAAAACACTGGAACAGTGTGCCTCCCTTCCCCTCGGTCCTTCTCTTGTTTTTTGCGTTTAACACATTCAGCGTATTAAGGAAAACAAGATGGATGAAGGAGCCCACTCATCCGGCCCGGAGAGAGGGGTTAAGGTCTTCACCGGACGTCTGAGGGGGTTTCATTATCTCAGTGGAGGAAAATGCAAGGCACTGTGGGACGGGTTAAAGAACAGTAACTCAATAATCACATTAAATATGCGGCGGACCGCAGTGCCTTCTGCTGCTCGCAAATGAAAAAGCTATAGTGTGCAGATAAGCTGAGAGAATGGAGAGATTGTGGAAGAGTACAAAGGAGGAAAGAAATGGGGCCAAAAATAGAGATACTGCAAAGCACAGAGCTCACTGTCTTTCAATTTAATTTCATGTAAAGGAACTGTTTTCTACACTATGTAGCATTTATTTTATGTTTTTCCTCCCTTGAGGTCTATTTTATAATGTTAGTGAGTTTCATGAACAAATACAGTTTGTAATTTAGTTTCTTGATAATTTTTCCTCTACAAGTGCGTTCATGCTGACAGCATTTTAATTGTTGATATCGCTTGCTATTGGTTACTAGTAGACAGGCCCACATAGAATTTCTGCTTGCACAACTAGAATGCCATAGGTTGAAAGCAATTTTTTTTCTGTTTAGTCATTATCACATTTTTCTTTAGTTCTTGGTAAATAGTTTTTGTTTTTTTTGGTGTAATTTTAATTTCTAATTTAAAAAAAAAAAAATTCTTAACATTAAAAAAATTTTCTCAGTGATTTTGTTAACATAACTAAAGTTGCTCTTGTGATCTTCATTTTTCTCAAGATACTCAAATTTTCTTTTTTTTCCAAGAGCACAAGAAAATTCAGTTGAAATAAAAAAATATATAAACTTTATACTTTTGAAGTCTCCGATTTCAGATTCTTACCATTTTATGACAGTATTCAAATGATGAATGCTGTTTTGGCTCTGTTTCATGTGGAGAGAGATCACTGTAGCGGCTCGGTTCAAGAGAAGTGGCAATGCAAAGTGCATGTGAACTGATGATTTCCTCCTCTTTAATACCCGTGAATATGAATAAACATTCGGAGGTATGTTAAAAGAAAGATTACAACTTACCGAAATCCATATCCTTTTTCATGTAATCGCTTAATTAGTGTTTCAACCGTGCAAAGATGTCAATATAACAGCTTGTAAACAATGTCACATTTACTCCAGAAAAAACTTACTCGGTGAGCATAAACTCGTTAGTCAGCTAGAGAAATGAACTCTAGAGATGAGCATTTTGCTAGATGTATGCACCACATAACATATTCATTATAATTTTTTTTTACTGTTCTTCAATATTTATTTTATTCTTAAATCCATCAAGTTGTTATGACAGCCACCATTTTAGCCACCATCAAGTTTATATTTAAAAAATTGATTGGAGTAGAAATTTAATTAGGCAGTGTAATTGTGACTTTATTATTATAAATCTTTGAGTGTAATTTAAGCATTTGTATACAAATCGATTAATTTTAACCTTCAATATTATAGTAATGTAGTATCAACTGACTCTTATTTATATTTTCCAGCATTAGTTGAGAGATTTTTTTTTCTTTGAGAAAATTTGGCATGTATTGTACCTAATATGTTTCCAAAATAATCGATATTGAATCTAATCGAATTGAATCAAAAGCTTGTGAGTCAGAATCAAATTGAATTGTGAATCATGAAAATTTGTGTCAACCCATCTAATACGCAAAGCCATAACTGTGATTCCTCGATTCTCAGTTTCTGCCATTTGTATTTCTTTGATCTGTTTCTGTTTTTCCTATATAAGTTGCATGAAAAGAGTTGACCAACAATTGGGCTTCTTGATTGAAATAACCATATTCTCTGTTTCTTTCATAGCCAGTTGGTTCTGTCAGGCAGTAGTGTGCAACTGGGTGTCCATCTAGGCACATTTATATACATTTGTGAGTGTATGTATGCACTTGCAGTCTTCTATCTGTCATTACTTCTTTGCATGACACATGTAACCTGGCCTTTTTTCCTTCTGTTTCTTGTTTATAATGTCCAATATCACATGCTTGAGTCCAGGCATCTCAGTAAAAGGATTTCCAAAGCTCCTAAATCAGCCGTTATCTGCTGGATCTTGGCCGTGTGTGGAAGCGCTGATGTACTGTATATCCCACTGATGCTTTCTGCCCACTTGCAAAGCAAACACTCTTAAGTCATCACGGTCCGGTTTGCTCGCACAACCATAACACAGAGGCCTGTTTGGCCGACTGAGAGTGTTTAAGCCGAGCTTCCAAAGTGGAAGACTGGGAAATGGTGATGACTTGTGAAGAAATGGAGACATTGTCCTTTCATTAGTCTTCATAAGCGGTCTTATCATCTAATCTTATACTGTCTGTGGCAGACTTGTGTATTATATACACCCATTACACACGAGGACACCTACAGAATGGACGCCACATATTAGAGAAGCTCTTACAGCTGCACTTCTCTCTCTTTCTCTGAAACCTGAGGCTTCTCTCTCTAAACCCATGGATTCTCTCTCTAAATATTTCCTTTGAGCTTGGGTTTCAGAGTCTGTTATGCCAGGAGAATGTTGGTTGGTCCCCGAGGTGTAATCTCACTACCCTTAGGTATCTCCCTTCCTCAACACACACACATTCAGTCTCAGATTTAGTGGTGATCATCAGCATAGATCTCCATTGGAGCTTTTCGGTGTAAGACTTTTGGGGGGTTTTATTGTCCTTTTTTTGTCGTTTGTCTTTCATTTTGTCCTGTCATGTATCGGCTGATATAAGGTTCCTGTCACGTATCGGCTGATATAGATCATTAGCATTGGACCAATTTAAAAATGGTAGCAATTTGTTTTTGACAAAGATTTAATTGTTTAAAATAAGCTGTATTTATTTAGTGTTTATTTAAAAGCAACAGTGTCTCCATGTTTCATTAATATTGTTGTTTTTTGTTTCAATAATAATACTAATAACTTATTTTATGTAATTATTAAAACACTAAAGACAGAGATAACGATTAATATTTAAAAGAACATTATATATCACTTTTTATTCTTATTACATAGGATAAGTTATTATATTATATTATATTATATTATATCAGCTTTATGGTATTGGTCAGATGTTTGGCAAATTTTTAATATGTCTGTCATTAAGCAAGAAGTGATGTTATTTATATAGCTAGGTTTAAAAAAATGTCAACAGTTTAATTAATGTTAACACGCTTGTTTAGAAAGATTCTCTTCAGCGTGTTTTTCTCCACTATGAGAGTAGTTGACCTAAAAGAGAAATCTAACCGTAAAAGGCCCTAACTCTGACTATTCTGCTCTATTTTTGAGACATTTTGAATACTTTGGAATTCTTCAGCGTTCGATCCTGTCTGCTCTGCATAAACTTGCTGTTATTAGTCATTATTTCACCCCTCGGATACAGAAGGGCTTGTTTGTGTCATGGTCTTCACAATGTTGGAATGTGAAGCCAAAAACTTGCTGGACAGCTGTGGGACATGCGCTGCAGATAGAGACATGCACTGGTTTGTTTACCCACAATGCTCAGGGATTTAAAGCTATGAAGACCAGCTTCTTTGAGGAATTTCTGTGATGATTAGTAGTGGAGGTAGTGGAGACCACTGACTCTATTTCTTCTGATTTTTTTAGTAGTTGTTTGCAGAACTATGAGCTAGTGTGTGGTGTTACCTCTACTACTAAGATTTGGATCATTTTATCAGCAGGAGCTGTGTGATTTTATAGGACATTTTTATGGAGTGCAGCAACATTCCTAATCCAAACACAGAAGCATCCTCCCACACGTCCCAAATCCTTACAATAACAGCCTCTTACTACGAGGTGTATTTTCTGCTGAAAGTACAGTTTTCAACATTAAACTCAGTTTAAAACAGCATTCAGGTTAAGTCAAAGATCCCAATTTTTCTCTGGCCCAGTCAGTGTTGATTAAGATCTTGCAGGTTTAATCAACACACAGAAATATTCCTGGCTCCCGGTTTGAGCCCATACAGCTGGGACAGAACATTCCTCTGAAATAACCCATAAACCCAGACGTATGCTCACTCTGATTGCGTGAACACAATAGAGAGGGAGAAGACTGAGGTCTGCAGCTTTGCTAGTGCTCAGGGTAAGTTCTCATGCCGTTGTGTTTCCTGGTCAGGGCCATTGAAAGGCCTTTTTCTAACAAACGAACCATCACACCCAGCTTCGGCTTTGCGCTCTCCGTAATGAAGCGTGCCATATGTATGTTCTCTCTTTGATGCCCTGTGCATTGACAATAAACAGACGTAAACCCCATGTGCAAAAGTGTCTGGTGCTCTGCATGTGAAATCCTATGTTATTCTTGGGACTGATTGCATTGGCATTGAAGGAAAACGGGGAAATTATCCCGGTGTTCATGTGTGGTGTCTCATCAGACGTCTGTGAACAGTTTTATGATTTATTGCATTACAAATCCCTATCATAATGAATTCAGTCTTTTGAGTTTAACGTTCCTCAGAGAAATATTTACATACCAGCTGATTTAGTTAGTTACACAACTGTAATAATGTCATTTTGTATGAAATGTTTATCAATATCTTATGTTATTCTATACATGTTTGTTTGCAGGCTACCAGGGAGACACTCAGCCATCACTGCAGCATGCTGGGAGATGCTCTGCACAAGGAGAACGACTTTGCTCTCATCATAGATGGAAAGACACTGAAGTATGCCCTCACTTTCGGGGCACGCCAGTATTTCCTGGACTTGGCTCTTTCCTGCAAGGCAGTGATATGCTGCAGGTATGTAACTATACCTGGGGAATCAGCAAGAATAACTTAATAACAAACCCTTACAAAGTATTACAACAAAGATTCACTGTACCAGGGTTTAAAAAAAAAGTGCCACAAGGGGGCACTTGAAAGTAAATATTATCCAGATAACATTTCAGTTTATTTTGGCTGTAGTACAAAGACAACTAAAAGTTAATAATTTAATTTGGGAGACAAAAAGTTTTTCTTTTTTAATGGTTTATTTTCGCACACAATCCAAATTGGTCTGTCAGCATGAAAATATTAAGCTGAAACTTTATGAAGAGAGACCATCACAAGGGAATCATCATATTTGGTGGTCTTTGCCATCAAAAAGTTTAAAAAACCACAATAATTTAAAGAAATGTAACTATTGCTACAAATTAGCGGTGGACGATATGACCAAACTTTTATATCACAATATAAGTACTTTTATTTCACGCTACGATATGTATCACGATATAGTTATACTGTAATATCGAAATGTTTTGATTCTATAGAAATTTCATAATTCTTGTCACCATTGTCAGTAACACAAAAAACTAATACTAGCCTAAATAAAAAAAATTTAAAACTCAGGTTCACCGAAGACAAGTAAACAGTCTCTTTGTTTTTTCAAAGAGAATAAAAGAGTCCAATTATTACAAATTGTCACTGTAATCGGATGCAGTTTTAAATGTATTTCCGTTGTTAAACCAAAGTACACAGGAAGTTGTACTGTCATGCTCTGCTTAAATGTTTACTGTTTCACAGGTGGATGTAAATACGTCTTTGGAAGTTAATAACCCTTTTTGCCCTCCAGGGAACTGACGCCATCATTGGACATTTTTCTGCACTTACAAAAACATCAAGTGACTGGCAGACAATTACAGGGAAATGCCGCTGTGCTGTTTAAAGAACAAATTACCTTCCCTTTAGGTCGCAACCTTCCCAATAAACATAATTATACTAGCTCTCAAAGCAGTAATTTACTAATGAGTGTTATTTTTTATAATAGTAAATTGTAGTCAGAATGCTTGTCAGTTATACACAAAGTTAAACTGTGTGTTAGCAGACTAGTATGAAGCGTTTAAAAAAAAAAATGCTACACAGCGAAAGAAACATATGAGGAACCAATTGAGCGTGACAAGGAACTGCCAAAAATCAGTCTCAATTTCCAGAAACAACGCACACCACAGGTGCCACAGCCATTATGCAATGCTTGATGTAATCTATCCGATCTGCTTTCGCTCACTACACACACATACGAACAGCCACATGGTGTCCTGAGGAGAGCAGATTTGTGCCTGCAGATGAGTAAATGTTAAACTGACTCTAGAGGTCTCCTGCTATATCGGCAGCAATCTCCAGCTCACTGGAGAGCCTTACATCACTCTACATTCATTGCTTACAAGATGACCTGTGAACGTTAAAATGGGGTTAAACCCCGGAGGAGCTTTTCTAGCCGAAAACGAGACCTTAATTTCATTTGCTGACACAGATGATGCAGTACTGTAATGTGCTGCAAGCTTTTGTATATGTTTTTTTTAAAGGTCAGGGATCCTGAGCTCAGGTTTGGCTTCATCAGGAACTCAAATTTGCCTGGTTTGGGCATTTATAAGGTGTGGGTTCATCTGATTCTAAATGTTGTGGGTTTCCAATGTTTGTGAAAAACCATTGAACTTTCTGTAGTAAATATATATTTGTTAGTTTTTGTTTTTTTTCAGAACTTGTGTAAAACTGGCTTGCCAGTTGCAGATGCTGCAGCGATTTGTGAGCCAGTTATTCTTTTTTTTTTTTTTTTTTTTTTTTTTTTTTTTTTGTCATTTAAAAAATATAGAAATATATTATAGTGTTTTTTTCTAC